GGCCAGACACTCGTCCACGACGGCATTACAGACCCTGTAAACGCCTCCTCGGCGACCACGTCTCCAGCATGCCGGCGTCTTCAAGCAGTACGGCTGAGATGACCTCTGGATGACCTTGAGCTATGATGTGGGGAGGGGAGACCACATGGGGTTCCCGTCTAGAATCAGTCCGTTCTTGGTCTCCCCAACCTTGTGCTTACTCTGTAGTTCCCGTAACATGTACATGGAACGGGGAGCTGCTCCAGTTTGTTCTGTTCCACGTCGAGAGTCTGAAGGTTCTCCAACGAGCAGATTTCGTCGGGCAGGACCCGTAGTCCGTTCCTGGCCAACCGCAAACTCCTCAGTCCCTTCATGGCTCCCACTTTTGGATTGAGAACTTTCAAGGAGCAGTCACTGACGTCGATCTCTTCGATGCTGTCCAGCTTGCTCAAATATTCTATGAACGGAATGGCAGTCAGATTGCTGTTTCCGCGGAGACTTAAACTTTCAACTTTTTCAGTCCCTTAGTAGTGCCCGTGGTGCGGTCTTGCCTACGGCCGATCTTGTTGAACCCCATATCCAATCTCTCCAGACTGTTCATTCCTACAACTGGTGCTGGGATCTGCTCAAAATTATTACTGCTGAGATCAAGAACTTTCAGTCTTTTCAGATTCTTGAAGCTAGTAGGTAAGATGCTGAGGCGGTTTGCGGCCAAGTCCAGATGCGTCAAAGGAGTCAACGTCGGCACCACAGGCGGGATACTGGTGATCTCATTTCCCTTCAAGTACAACTTGCAAAATTTTCTGAGTCTGGAAAGCTCCCGTGGGAGATCCGACAGCCTGTTGTAGGAGAGGTTTAACTCCTGTAGCCTGGCGCACTGTGCGATGTTTTCACTAACCAGTGTTATGTTATTTCTGGAAGCATCTAGAACTTGTAGCTGGCTCATGTGAGCGATGTTGGGAGGGATCCTCTCCAGTTGGTTGGAGTTTACAAGTAAAATTTCCACCCCGTCCAAAGTGAAGACATCGTGTGGAATTTGCCTCAAGTTGCGACTGGTTAGGGAAAGTTCTGCCCTTTCTGACGGGTTCTTTTTCAGCATAGCCTTTAAGTTTGACAGTCGGAATTTTGTTGCACCTTTTGTCGCCATCTTGTTATGATGTATAGTCCGTGATATTACATTTTCTACAATATCTGCAATATCTGCAATACCAGAACAAAAGACCCTTCAATTACTGAATGATTTAATGCACAGATGTTATCGTTTCTGCTGTGGACAACCAGGTGTCAACATAACAACGTACGCCTTTCAATATGGCGTCCCGTCAACAAAATACTAGTACTAGTAACTAGGATCGTTTCTACCAAATGACTATCATAATTCCCCAAGCAACATGCATGATCCTGCTACAAGGAAATTTGTCAAAAGATCAAGTACTATATATTGCTTTTGAGTCATCTGTGGGATTGGCCGTCAGCAAGGCACTCTTTCGTCACCGAAAACATAATCACTATCCTTCCATTTGATCTAGGGCAGATAATTTCTGATTTTCTGATTGAACATTAACTGTCCTTGCCAAAACTTTGTTGAGAACATCAATAAAATTCATCCTTACCCCTACACGTACCTTGATCCTGGGCCCTCCAAAGTAACAAAATTCGTCAGCCTTGTGGAAAAGAGTACATGACACGGGTCGTTGGAAGTAGCTGACTGCTCGCTGTGGGCCTAAAGCTAAAATTATCTTACCTTTTCTCGTTCGCCCACAATAAGGGTCGACCTGGCCGGTAAAGTATAACCAGCTAGGCTTTTCAGAGCTGAAGCGGTGGGGTAAGACAGGGAAACTGGATAACGTGGAAAACAATGGAGAGGGAAGACGATAGTTTATCTGGCCTGTTGGATTGTTTATATTGGATGTTGGCAACCTTTAAAACATTATGCTATAAAAACAAAAGACCTGCAGTTATCTAGGATCACTTTGCCCACTGACAGTGTGTCGGAGAGACCGGGCACGCCTTTGTCACAATTATCTGACTAAAGTCATTATCTGAAATAATGGACCCTATATATAGGGACTCGAGATGCCCTTAAGTAACATTATTGGAGCCTGTTATATAAATATTTGGCCTGCCTCATAGCTTGGTGACGTTTCCATACATGTCCCATGGTGCGTGCGCTACGGTGAGTTGACATATTTTTGGCACAGCCAATGC